CACACTTTTATAGATTTGCTAAATGTATTTATTGTTGTGGAAGTTACCAAACAAGGCTCAATGAGCTATTTATTGTGAATTTGTTCGTTCAGTCTTTTTTTTTACATATTTATCAACTCAGAAAATCAATACATACTAATATTTGCACTGATATAGTCACAGAAAACGGACATTAAATCAGCTGCCTACATTCAAACTAGGTATATGTATTTCTTAAATGTTCATATTAAAGTGTTACTAAACCCAGGACCCTGCATTCACTCTATCCGGTCTCCTACAGTACACAGAACATGAAAATGCAATTACTTTAGTAAATATAAACTGCTAAATACTTTTTCCCATCAGCAGTTAGAGCAGTCTTGTGACTTCTATCAGTGTTTAGCAGAGCCCTGGTTAAAGCTTGTAGGAAGAGGTTTTTTTCTACTCTAGGAGGATTCAGAACCCCTGAGCTCTGTCTGGACAGTGCTGATTGGCCCTGTGCTGATCACATGCACTCTCCCAAGAAAAAAAACCCTCTCTAGCAATACACACCAACCTGAGCATGTGCAGAGTGTCTCCACACAATATGTCTTATCAGCAGATAAGAGGGGGGCACTGGAAGAAGGGGAGGATCAGAGAAGTCAGGATCAAACAGCATTTTTACATAATGCAGAGGATTAAAACCTTAGGTTCCACAGTGAGTATAACAAGCATGTTTTACTGCATATACAGACTGATTTTACTGTTGTGGTTTTAGTAACACTTTAATCTTAATCGAAGAAGGTAATGTAATTACTTTGCCTCTCATGGACAAAATAGATAATTGCTAATAGAAGAAAAAGGTTGTTGTGGTACTACTAAACCAACTATAGTAAGAGAGAAACACCAACTAGATACAGATAGAGCAACATAGCATCAATGCGCTGCTGTAGCTGTAGACATGCAGTATACAGTATATAGCCAAATGTATGTTGATACCCCTAAACATTCGGGGTTCAGATATACAAATACAGGTCCATAAAGATGTGGTTGGACAAGTTTAGTTTGGAAGGAGTAAAGTGGCCTGTTAGCCCTGACTCCTGACTTCAATATTATTGATCACCTTTGAGATGATTGGCAATGGTGATTGTGAGCCAGGTCTTCTAGTTCAACATTAGCACCTGACCTCCCAAGCGCTCTTTTGGTTGAATTGGAACAAACACCCACAGATGTACTTCAAATATTGTGGTACGTCTGAGGTAAGACTTCGCAGAGGAGTGAAAGCTGTTCAAACATGGAAAACTATTTCATATCACTGCCTATGGTATTGGAGGAATGTCCCAAAAGCGATGTAGGAGCGATGGCCAGTTGGCCACACACTTTTTACTATATAATGTACAACAATACAACTGTTCCAAGTCATCTACTTTGTTTTAACACAAGATTCCAGGAAATATTGCTGATTGCAACTTTCCACAATAAATCAAAATACCAATTTACCTGGTGTCTGTAAAGACCCCATCTGCGATGAGTAGTGGCAGCCCCATATTTACTGATTTGGATTAGACTATTACGTTGTAATTTCAAATACTTAATGTACATTGTTGTAAAGTTATCTATCATTCCGACTTATACCTTGCCAAATGATTTAAATGATCAAATTATGTTCACACCCTTGTAATTGTCACCCTTTTGCATCCCATTAGTGATCATTTCTGCAGTTTACATTGTTTGTATGAGTTATGTGAGGTGATCTGTCTCTACCCCTAAAGGTTATAAATATTATCTTTCTTCTTAGTTAAGCCTAGTACACATGGTTAGAAAATTGTATGAAAAATACCGCTTTCGAAATGATCGCACGATAATCTGACCGTTAATACACAGCTTTCATCCAAAATTATTTTTCTCGTACAATACCAGATCATACAATTTTTGTTTAATCAGTACAGTTTTCATCCAAAATTACAATACAAATATATTACATCACTTCCGAATTTTCTTTCTGTCATACAAGAATTATCGTAACTTTACTTAATTTTTCTAGTGTGTAATCGGAAATTATGTAATGTGTGACCCCTCTTCATCATCAACACAAACAATAGTCTACAGGGCTATCAACATGGTTACAAAAGGATTAACTTATTTATTATAAAGGCAAATTGTGATTTTTCGCAATTATATAACATTTTTCGTATTGCACAATATTTGTTTTTATAGCCCCTTTCTTCTATCGATTCATTCTTTTGTTTCCAATCATGCACGGTCTTCGTCTCTCAATTAATTTCGTATGAATACTACACTAATCATCATTGGTTCTGTTACCAAACTAGAAAAATTTTCACTCCTGTTCCTTAGGAAACTTTCAACTGAAATGTCGTAATCAGATGTCGGAAGCTGTGTACTAATTCTTGCTCTAAAGGGCAACTACATCCAAAACCTTTTTTTGTATTTTTGAATAAAGTAAATAATTATTAAAACCCTGCCACTTTTTTTGCTGTCTGCATGTCTGTGGTGATATTTTTCTTTTACTCCCAGTGTTAAGACACTGAAGGAAGTGGGAGGAGATCTCTCCAAAAGAATAGAAATCCTCTTTTAGTTAAAACTAAAAATGCTAAACGTTCTCACATTTTCAGTCCTGATCATCAGGACAACTAAGAGGAAGTTCCCCAACACAGAGGCAGCAATAAATACTGGCATATAATCTAACCCTATCTCACTGTATCCAAAATTTAAAAAAATGCAATTTAGATACAGTTAAGTGTGATTCTTAGTGCACAGGTTTCACGTCTCCTCCTCAACTTTATAATTCAGCTCAGAATTGTTGTATTTCAGCCAGGGGCATCCCTAGGCAGGTGCGGGGGGTACGCGCCGCACCGAGAGACACCATTTCCACGGGGTGACACCGGACCCGCTCCACCAGAGGTGGACTGACCATTTGGGCACTGCCCGAGGGCCCGGGGTTACTACACAGCCCTATGAGAGGCTCAGTCCGTCCCTGTATGTGCCGCTTCTGAAATAAGCAAGCATTGAGGAGATGGACAGTGAGGCAGGCACCTCTCCTCCTCAGAGTTTCAGCAGAGGGGTGGGTCCACATCCCTGCCACGGGTGCTGAAGTCAGAGAGCTGGAGGGGTGGGCAGAGTATACAGCAGGTAAGTGTGTAATCCCCCGACCCTGGTGACAGCACTGCATCTTCATGTAGTAGGTAGGGGGAGAGAGAGAGAGGGGGTGGAGAGGGCAGAGAGAGAGAGGGGCAAGAAAGAGGGCAGGGGGGGAGAAAGAGAGGGCAGAGAGACAGAGAGAGAGAGAAGGCAGAGAGAGCAAGAGAGAGAGAGAGAGGGAGAGGGAGGCTTGCTTTAAAACTTACCTTTTTGTAGAGCTGTGGAGAGATCAGTTAGGTTGCAAGCCGACGATCCCCGCAGGATGAATCGGATCTGCGGATTGGGGAGGATAATGGATCGTACTCCAATCCATTATGCACAATCCGCAGATCTGATCCATCCTGCGGGGATCATGGGAGGGGGTGTCACCAAATGTTACTGCACCGGGTGACACCAACCCTAGGGACGCTACTGACTTCAGCAATACAAAGGGAACATTTGAAAAATAGATTTGAAAAATAGATTTCTATTATTTATGTGTTTTAATTTGGTTAAAGCAGTTCTGCATTTAAATTAAGAACTTGGGAAAGTTAGAACCAAGTGGCACTGGAGCCTTTTCCTTTCAATACATTCTATTTTACACTCAAAACACAAAAAAAATAATAAGAATACTCAAATAACAACAAATTACATATATTACTGCATAAAGTTAATCACTATATTAGTACCTTCCTGCTAATCAATTAAAAATATTTAGGATGGGGACATCTTGATACTTTTGTAATTTTGGACTTAGTGTTTTTGATGCTTAATGTTAAAGTTCAAATTAAAATGTTTTGTGCAACTGCCAAATAATATCGAAGGCAAGCTTTAACTAATAAAAAGCTTTCAACACAGCTCCAGAATGACTGAATATCTTGACAAGACCACCAATTAGAAAATTTCAGTTAGTTATTATCATTGTTATTTTTACAGGTATGGAGCTGACATGTACACAGGGCTTTTTATATAAATAAATATATATATATATATATATATATATATATATAATATATATATATATATATATATATATATATATATATATATATATATATAGCCCCTGTGTACATGTCAGCTCCATACCTGTAAAAATAAATAATAATATATTTGCCAAAAGTATTGGGACACCCCTCCAAATCATTGGATTCAGGATTCAGGTGTTGCCAGGAGATCGGTACTTGCCTGACTGCATTGTTCCAAGTATAAAGTTTGGTGAAGGGGGATTATGGTGTGTCCTGACCTTAACCAGGTAGAACACCTTTGGAATTAATTAGAATGGAGACTGCGAGCCAGGCCTTCTCGTCCGACATCAATTGCTGATCTCACAAATGTGCTTCTGGAAGAATGGTCAAACATTCCCATAGACACACTCTTAAACCTTGTGGGCAGCCTTTCCAGAAAAGTGGAAGCTGTTATAGCTGCAAAGGGTGGGCCAACTCAATATTGAACCCTATGGACTAAGACTGGGATGCCAATAAAGTTAATGTGCGTGTAAAGGCCGGCGTCCCAATACTTTTGGCAATATAGTGTATATAATAAATAGAATTCTTTGTGATAATGGGAACACTGAGAATTTGTATGAAATTCATACTGGAGTATACTGATGAGGTCCCCTTACTGTTAAGGTCTCCTTACTATTAAGGTTGACCTCAGAATTATTCTTTTGGCTCTACTTCTCCTGGGCATCACAATAGGGCACTTAGTTCTGCGCTTCTGTAACCCTTATTCAGCCAACAGTGGGCCAAAATCTTCAGTCTCTGCTCTAATTCATCCCAAAGGTGTTCTATCAAGTTGAGGTCAGGATTCTGTGCAGGCTAGTCACGTTCTTCCACCCCAAACTCACTCATCCATGTCTTTATGGAGCTTGCTTTGTGCACTGCTGTGCAGTCATGTTGAAACAGGAAAGGGCCATCCCCAAACTGTTCCCACAAAGTTGGGAGCATGAAATTGTCCACAATGTCTTGGTATGCTGATGCCTTAAGAGTTCTCTTCACTGGAACTGGAACCCTACCTGAAAAACAACCCCACACCATAATCCCCCCTCCACCAAACTTTACATTTGGTACATGCAGTTAGGCAAGTACCATTCTCCTGGCAACCACCAATCCCAGACACGTCCATCAGATTGCCAGACAGAGAAAAGTGTGATTTGTCACTCCGGAAAACATGTCTCCACTGCTCTAGAATCCAGTGGTGGTGTGCTTGGATGCAGCCATGGAAACCCATTCTATGAAGTTCTCTATGCACTATTGTTGTGCTAATCTGAAGGCCACACCAAGTTTGGAGGTGTTTAACTATTGAATCTGCAGACAGCTGGTGACTTCTGCACACTGTGCTTCAGCATGCGCTAACCCACTCTGTCATTTGACGTGGCCTACCCCTTTGTGGCTGAGTTGCTGTTCCCAGTTGCTTCCACTTTGTTATAATACCATTAACAGTTGACTGTTGAATATTTAGTAGCAAGAAAATTTCATGGATGGACTTATTGCACAAGTGGCAACCTATCACGGTACCATGCTTGAATTCCCTGAGCTCCTGAGAGCGACCCATTCTTTCACAAATGTTTGTAGAAGCAGTCTGCATGCCTAGGTGCTTGATTTTATGCACCTGTGGCCATGGAGGTGATTTTAACAATTGAATTCAATGATTTGGAGGGGTGTCCCAATACTTTTGCCAATATAGTGTAGATCAGGTTGACTAAGATGGCATACTCAGGTAATCTTGTTCCTACTTTTACCTCTCACTGGTAGTTGTCACTGCTCATTTACATTTTACATATGAGGAACACTAAATGCAAAATATGTTATATAACACAAAGGGTTATTCCTAAGTAGTTGAGTAAATGGAAAGCCCACTCCTAATTAAAAATTTAGCTATAAGCGGAGTCCTCTGCTTTTTTACTTCAGCTAAAATATCTTCCAGTGGCAATTTTCAGCTCAATGTCAATCTCACTTCTGTCAGAGAAAGTACATTCACACTTCTTATAAAGCATTAGTCATAATTTAAAATAAAACTTCAATGAGCATAGTGGAACTCAGGAGGCTGCACAGATTACACTACCAGAATATCTGATAGACAGATGAACATTATTGTTGTTTGCCAGAAAACAATTAAGTTTTGCATGGTTTGACCTATGAAGGTGCATTATTATTGTGTAAAGATATGTCTAAGGGTGTTATACATCCTGCCTTGGGAACACCCAGTCCATTTAAGTCGGAACATAAGCTGATTATTAAGTGTATATTTTGTAATATCCTGTAGTTTCACAAAAGACACAAGAACCAGACAGCTGACACCTAACATGCATCATTACATTGTAAAAGACTCGTTTCCAACAAAAGTTACAAGGGTGTGGACAGGATGACTGCACAGGTCAATGTCATCAAACCTAGCATTAGGTGCACACATAAATAATTACCTGGTCTTATGAGATGACTAAGCTACTGTAATAATTATCTAAGCACTACAGCTGAAGCAGGCCTATGCTCTGGTAGTCTGTGTTTCTATACTTTACACTCTGTGTTTTTTCCCAATGTACTGAACCATCCTTACCTTCCAGGCACTTCACTTGCATCATTCTTTAGCTAGCTTTATACAGCTTTTGACAGCAATGTGTGCAAGGCCTCTCTTGCATAGTCATGCCTGAAAGTATTAATCCTCTGAACTAAAACAGTCCAAGAACCCCTTGCATCTGCCAGAAAGCACTTATGTAGTCTCACATCTATAAGACATAGATAAACCCACAATGACAGGGAGAATAGCATGTCAAAACCCACAGACTCATCCTACAGCAAACACAGGGATTTATTTATTTTTATGAAAAATTTCCAGAAATGTTTCCTAACCCAGTTTCTAATCTGTGCACTATACTAATGCTGTTTGATTATTTATTGAGCTCATATCTATATTTATAGGTTTTAAACAACGTAGCAAGTAGCAAGATAGGCTAAGTATCTGTGGGGCTTTCTTCTTCAAGTAGTAAAACAGCCAAACCTACTTTAGCCTTTACATTTAAATGCTGTCAATCTGTAGCGCAGACCCGGGACTGATCTGGTTGTTTTCTCCAGGGTTCCTTTCCCTGATAGGTCTTTTTGTAGTTTTATTTTTTGTTAAAAGAACTGGGATAGGGTGAGGGTGAGCCTTGGGATACTCCAGTGAACCTCAACAAACTGTTGTAGAGAACACTATAACTATTCTACTTCTTCAGGGTGAGGGCACCCCCTTTAAAGCGCAGATAAACTAGTATGAAACAGGGACTCCTCAACAGGAGTATAGTTCTGTATGTACAAAGAAAAAGCTCTCCCAAATAAAGCTAAATAAAGTCTCCAAGTCCAAGAGGGTGGCACTCACTGTGTCCTGAATACTGTGTTGCCACCTGCAGTCAGTCAGTTGCTGTACCTGTTTTGTTTGTCTTGGATCCTTAGCTGAACTCTCTGGAAATATTCACTAGGCTAGGCCAGGGTTCCCCCAGCCAAAGCAGAAGCTGGGACCCAAAAAAAAACTCTTGCAGCTGCAGGTAATCACCCAGGGTTGCCACAGCCCTCAAGCTGGGTCTTGCTCACCCAGGAACAGAGGCCTCTGTTCTGGGCCCCAGCCTATTTATACCCCTCTCAGCCCCCTGCTGGTCACTCACTCCCCTGACCCGGGTTTGGCTGAAGAGACATAAACATGCAGGCCAGGGTCTAAGATTTGCCACCCACTATATCTCATAACTCAGTGGGATGCAGGGTAAACTTACTGAACCTGCACCAGCAGAACCCAGAGCAGACACTATTAAGTGACTATTGCACTCCCTGGCTACAGGGAGGCCAAAAACCAAATTTAACACTAGTTACCTACTGGGGAACTACATATCTAAATATCAAAGCTCTACTAGGTATGGAAAACTTTGTTGTGGTGCATACATGATAGTAGGAATGATGTCTATGCCAAATATAGTTTTTATGCATATATTGTTCAGCAGTACTTGTCTATGCAGGAAATGAATACCTAAAAAAATCAAATATTATCATTTGTATACTCCAAGGTTAGACTAATGCATCTGTGTATTTCTCTGCAAAACAGACTGTACTTCTTACTTGATAACTTTTGTCATCATCATGATCATCAACATATTTGAAATGGTGACATGTTTTTTATATATGAACAACAAAAGGAACAAGAACTCGAAGTGCACTCTTTGTGAACAGATAGCTTAATATGGGTACTAGTTGAAGGTTTAGTTGAAAAGACCTGCACTGAAAGGAAAGAATACACTTAGGGCCATCCTGTCCATTGTATAAGCCAAAACTTTGTTTTCCACTTCTGAATAGAGTGGGAAAGATAAGAACTTCTGTTAGGACCACCTCTCAGTTTACCAGCAATTTCTGAACTGTAAGCAGACACTACTGAAGGTGACTTCTGCGTCCCTGACAGATGTAAGACGGTTGCATCCTGTTACTGCAGGCTATGTGAGTCTAAGGAAATTAAAGTGATATTAAACAGCACTAAGCCCCCATTCACACCAATGTGATTTGTCATGCGATTTGACAGTTCAAAACCGCATGACAAGTCGCACTCTATTTGTGCTTTTGGAACTGTTCAAATCACAGCAACTCCAAATTTAACCAATTTTAAAAACCAAAAGGTTCCCACACTATATTTGGTGATTTCATGTACGACTTGCATTGACATCTGTGCATGAAGTCGTACAGATATCGGCAAGCCACATATGAAATCAAACTGACTGGCGGCTTTGAAATCGCCCCACTTCATTTGAAGCGTGATTTCAAAGCCACATTCCATGTGAACCAGGGCTTATTCACTTGCTGAGTACACAGATATAGCTTTTAATCCTTGCCTATGTTCCTGTATAAGCTGGCACCATGACCATTGTCCCAGGTTTCCGGTTTCAGAGTGGCTCCTTGCACCATCCTATGGAGCCACCCTTGTATGCAGGTACTAGAGTTGTGTCCTACACTATGTGCATCAATAGAAACACTCAGCCCTGTAGCCTAGCATGGCAAGGCACTCCCCTGCTTCTCCCTTCTCCTCTCCCTTTGATTCTCCAAGCTAAAAGACTGGTTCTAGACTGCACTATCCGTTAACACTTTTGCTGTGAAGCCTGAAAGTTCAAGGAAGCAGCACTGAGAAAGCAGGGGTATTAGTAGTTGTAAACTACAATAGTGGGGTAAGAATTTTAGCAAATTGTTTACTAACGAATGTTTGTTTCATTGTGCTTAATTTAGTAAGCTACAAAACACCGAGGGTGTAATACTACTTTTTTTCATTTTAATAAGAATATTCTTTATTAAACATTAAGCAAATTTTTAGACAAACTTCACTTACCCAATCTGCCTAGCCCTCCTGGTCTAAACTACACCCCCTTCCCCATCAATGCTGCTTAATAACTCAGGTAGCATGGCATGATCTTGCTGAACACACTGGAAGATGCACCAGTATATGACTATGAGATCTTACTGCAGCAGCAATGAATGCAGACCATGGTTGTCATACTCCAGGAGGTAAGCAAATGGAAGGTATGTTTAGGTCAGCAGGGTTAGGCAAGGTGTGTAATAGGTTTGCCACCTCATCCCTTTAAAACTGAACACATATTAATTACACAGGTTCTGTGGCTGATTAAGGTGGTAATTAAACTCACTTAGTGCCTTATCTGCATTAAATTAGCCTCAGAATCTGTGCAATTAATATGTGTTCGCTTTTAAAGAGATGAGGTGGCAACCCTAGTGTGTAAGCATACTTTGTCCAAAAGCACGCACCCTTTGATTTCTTATTCAGCCCTTTTTTATAGACACCAGCGAATTATCCCATCCCTTATATCTATAGCAAAACTTGTTGTAAAACTACCATTGATAAAAACTGGACATTTTTTTTTCTTTACTGGTCTTTAAGAAAAAAACAATACAAAAATTAAGATAAAATAACTTTAAGAAAACACAACTAAAAGAATGCCTTGTTCCCCATAATTTATTACATATAGTATTTTAGTACAATGACAGTTACAGGCCAATAGGCTTCTACTGTAGCTGAATTATGAAAATTACCCAGGCCCATTAATCATAAAAAAAACTACTAGTTTGGAAGTGGTTAAATGCCTTCAAATGCTTTGTCAAACAGATGGGTTTTTAGTCTGGTTCTCAGTGCTCAAAAGATGGCAACTGCTGAATTGTACTAGATAAAGGGTTTTGTGAAACATAAAGAGCTGGCCCCAAAAGCTTAAAGGTGGTCTCTGGAGATGGAATGTATCCTTGTAAATGGCCATTGTGAGTAGAGTAATGTTGAAAAAAAAAACATTCAGTTTGATGGTGTATACGTTATTTAGGACACTGAATATCAGAGAGATGATTTTGCAGTAAATTCTGTATTGTATTTGAAGCCAATCGAGGAAAAAATGAAGTGGTGTTACAGAAGTATGACAAGAGATTAAGACCAAGGCATTAAAGCATTGCAAAAAAAAAAAAAAACAAGAACAATGATGATACATGTAACTCATTTGCAACCATTATGAGATACTGTCTAAGCCAACTTTAGATCAGTATATGTAGAAGTCT